GGTCATCGCTCCAGCGCTAGGTCTACTACCCCAGGAGGCCGCCCTGGATTCGCCTCCTGGTTATTTCATTCCTAATTTTAAAGCAAAATTAAAAGAAAAAATCACCTCTAACAAATCTTTGGCACATTTCCGTTCGTCTGGATTCTTCACCAAACATTGAGCAATAAAATTAACAAAATCGTGCGACCAGTCCGCTTCAGATTTCAGCGTCGGTGGTGGCTTCGTTGGGATCATAAATATCGCCTGAGAACAGGGAGAGTGAAGACAAAAGTCAGCAAAAATCAAATTATTAACAAAACAAAGCCTTAAATAAAACCCTTAGAACCTAACGCGAAGTCATCTTTTACTATTACTTTCACGATTACTTCAAAAATTAGGTAGCCGATACTTGGTACCAGGGAAAAATCCCACATTTTTTACAGTAAGTGATTGATGGCCGCCAAAATACGATGCAGGAACACTGCTAATAAGTCAGTCACACAAGTACTGGGAAGAATAAGGAGCATTTAGCAATTTTTTTTTTCTGGAAAAAGAAGAAAAAAACGAACTCTCATTGGATGAATATCAGCATGAGGTGGGCGACCTTCGGCCATTTCCATGGTTGTTATACCCAGTGACCAAATATCCGCTTTTGTATCATAACCAATTTCCTGGATTACTTCTGGTGCCATCCAAAATGGCGTCCCAATCACTGTATTTCTCTTTGCCATTGTATCCTATAAAATCAGAAAAAATCCTCCAATTGCTCATCTCTTCGGTGCTACTGCTGTGTTGAAGGCAACGACGTACGGATGCGAAAGATGATCACTGATGAAATGAGAAGAGCGAATTCTGACTATTATAAAGACTGCAGTACAGCTGGGAAATAGCAGAATAGAAGGGCTGGTTTTAAGTTTCATGTGCTGGAGGACATTTTATGATGCAGTTGGTACGTGTTTCATCTCTTAGCTGTAAACGCAGACCAAGCAATGCCTGCACTGTTTGTTCTTGACCATACAAGCAACCGGGCTCATTATCAGATGAGTTAAGTGAAGCGAAATTTGATGGAAAGGGGACATGTTACTCGTCTAACTAACAATCGATGAGTGTCGCTTATCAGTGATTGAGGCCAGCGACAAAGTGGATGATCAACGGGGGTAATCTCGGAAGGGATAGCGAGTGTACATTGGGAATAAGGTAACTGGAATTACATATTTCAAGAAAAAAATCCCTGACATAGCAACATCCGGTGTATGAGAACATTCCCATAACATAGTAATATCAAGTTCCTACATCGTCTGTCCGCGTTGTTGGTCTTCTCGACAATGATATTTAAAGAACAGTTAAAAGGAAAGTTACAATACCAAGCCGATTTATTAACAATCAATGAACTACAAAGTTACCAACAAACTCCAAGTCTACAAGCATGTTCCTGTGAAGTAAACGAAGCAGTGGCTTCAGCAGATTGAGAGAAAGAGGTTAGAGAATAGCAGCTCAATATACATACAGGCTTGCTTATCTGGGAGATCTAAATGGGACTTCCAGTTTTTCCATAACTGTCAAAATTCGATTGTTTTCCTCTCCACGGTGGGCCACCAGCGTCAAACAAACTGCGTATGTTAACACATAGAAGACTTCAGCCCCCGTCCTCTTCCAATCCCCTAGACGGAGATATTCACTGTTTGCATATTTAAAATTTCTGAAACATTTAGAGATCCTTTTTAGCAGTCAAACTCAAATCCATTGCAGGGTCTGATAACAATCCATATCCCACAAAATCCAGCGCATTATAAAGAAAGTTACGTTTATC